TTTTTGAATTTTAAATGTACTTACATGCATTCACTGTACAGCATTACAGTATACAAAATGAGATTTTTCCATCCAGAATACAGTGTATATTGGCTCAATCAAGGATTTTACCATACACGTTGTCGTCAACAAATACTTTTCCATTTCTTGTTTCTTACATATTTTACTGCTTTTCCCCCCCTTGATTCTCTACCTCTCACCTTCCGCCATTTCTCCCCCTCCTCCCACACTGTCTCTGGTATCTACAGTTGCTTTCCATGCCTTTTTGTTTCACATTTTGTCATTCACAAAAGATCTTAATTACTCTAAATCCTTTCAATAGCAAGTGCAGCTGATATATACATATCCATGAACACAAGTCTGACTTTAGACATAAACCTCAGTGAGTAGAACGAGCATACTACAGAGTAACACCCAGCTGGGGCTATTATAGCTTACTGCAGTCATTAAATAGATATTTTTATATACATCTTTTAATTTCAAGAAAAACAGGGTTTTTTTAATATGTCAAAATCAAAAATGTTAAGAGAAATTTTCTTAAGACTTAAAGCCAGGAAAAAGTTTAAAATTCAGTTCAAATAGTAGGTAGATGAATAGTTCAAGAGAAGACAAAAAATCTTAAATCCACAAAATTGTTTTATCTTCATTTTCTTTCAGCACTGTCCTGTTCCTTGGTTTCTCTGTATCTGAAAACATTTTCCCCTTCTTAGAATAGGAGATGTGTGTATTGCAGTCTTCTAAGAAATCTCTGCCAAGGAGGTGTGTAAGAGCTGAGAGCGGGCCGAAAACGGAAATCAGCCTGGTGCTAGTTGGAATTGTAAAGAATGGGTTTATTAGACATCTCTACCATCTGGATCTTATGTTACCGTCAGGAAGAGTGATTTAAAGTGGCGGAGTTAGAACAGAAGGAGTTGCCCCGTTCTCTGTGAGGGCCTGTGTCTGTTTTCCATTCACAGAAAGTAAGTCTGTTTCTCCCAAGCTATTAGTTAGGGAATAGAAAAATCCATTTTGTCCTCAGAGCAGCCCTATTCCACCACTAATTTTTCTTACTGCTTTTAGATTTCCGTGTGTATGTGCTTGCAGACAGATGCACTCCCCAGAGAGAGGTGAGAAGGTACCCCTGCACACACCATGGGAATGGTCATGCCACAGTCCCTTCTACTTTATCACTTCCTTCTTTCAGGATTTCTGAACATGCATACACACATCTGGCATGTTTCTCAAGCTGCTGGGTCCAGTACTTGAACCTCACAGTTGGCCATATGGGATCTGGCTACCTTAACCAGCCCTATTGCTTTAGTTCTTTACAGTTCTTTTTTTTTTTTTTTTTTTTTTAATGACCTGGTAGGTAGCAGTAATAGCAGATTCCCTTTTGGTCATTAGGAGTGTTTGGAGTGTTCTATCTCTTCTTTAAAAGACCCAGCTTGACTGGTTAATTGCTGAAGCAGGGGACCGGCAGTTGGCATAATGGCTATGTCGCTGGGCTTCCATGTAGTCAACCGCAGTTCAAGTCCTGGACACAGTGGCTTAAAGTCATGCTGGATGCCTGCGTGCTCAAGATCCTGAGAGGAGTCTGGAGGAGAAGGGATTGCAGCATGACCATCCCCCCGGGGAGTGATTTCTCACTTTTTGTCTCTCTGTCTGTCTCTGTCTTCCTAGTGAGCACACACACCCTATGGCAAAAACCTCTCCCCCACCCAAAAAAAAAAAAAATTGCTGAAACTGCAAACACGTAATCTTGGAAACTTTATTCCTTTCGCCCTCTTCTTTCTCCTGAAGGGTTCTAGAAAGGTGACTAGGGAGATTAATGAGGCTTTGAGTTTAGCAGTAGCCCAGTTTGGCTGATGCCCTTTAACTTTGGTACTTAGTTCCTCGTCTAGTCTGTTTAGAAAGCTGGAATGGAGACCAGCAGTTAGCATAATGACTATGTCACTGGACTCCCATGTAGTCGACTGCGGTTCAAGTCCTGGACCTGGTGGTTTAAACTTGTGCCGGGCATGTGTGCATGCTTGCCCAAGATCCCGAGAGGAGAATGGAGGAGAAGGGATTGCAGCGTGGCCATGCCCCCTGCGGGGTGATTTCTCACTTTCTGTCTCTCTCTCTCTGTGTCTTTCTGCTGAGTGCAAGTACCCTATAGCAAAAACCTCTCGACAACAAAAACAGATATGAAAGTATCTTTATGCCTGAGTGTTTTCCTTTCCTTTGAGTAAATACCCAGGAGTGGAATTGCCGGGTCATATGGTAGTTCTGTCTTTAGGTTTTTGAGGAACCTCCATCTTGTTCTCCACAATGGCTGTACTTATTTACATTTCCACCAACAGTTAGGCTGGTTTCCCCTTTCCCTGCAGCCTCACCAGCACTTGTCATTCTTTATTTATTTGATCAGAGTTTTTTATTTTTAACACCCATCATGGTATAAATTCATAGAGAATAGGTTTCAGAAGCTCAGGCTCTTTTCCACTGATTCTCGCAAAGTGTGCTTCTCTGAGTGAGGCAGGTTGGCATTTCAGTTGAACTCAAATCCCTTTCTCTTTGGCTTCCTTCTTTGTCTTGTCATTTTCCTTCATATGTTTTAGGAAGCTCTCTCTGCTCTTAGAATGCTTGATATGCTCAAATTGGATATTTATTCTCTTGGTAAGAGTCTTGCCCTTAACTTGTTTGTTTACAACAATGCCAACAGCATTCTGAGTATCAGTGTTGCCATGGTAACATTGGTGGGGCATTCCTTTTTGAAGAGTACCCATTCCCTCGATTTCTACAATATCATCTTTCTGGTAGATTCCCATGTATATTGCCAAAAGAACCACTCCGTGTTTTCTAGAAGACCTAGAGAGCATGTATTGGGTGCCTCTGCTCTTTCCCATTGTGTTTGTCATTTTGATGAATTACTGGAAAGTGGTGGTTCCCTCTCATTATGGTTTTGATTTGCATTTCTCTTATGATAAGAGACATTGAACATTTTTTCTTTAGCCTTTTGGCATTTGTATGTCTTCCTTGAAAAATTGTCTCTTCAGCTCATTTGCCCACTTTTTAATTGGATTTTTTTGTGGGTAAGCTGCTTGAGTTCTCTGTATATTCCATTTCTCAGACCCTTATCTGAATCATAGTTTGCAAATGTTCTCTTCCATTCTGAGGCTTCACTCCCATTATTGTTTCCTTTGTTGTGCAGAAGCTTTTCATCCTAGTGTAATCTGACCTGCCTATTTTGGGATTATTGCCTGTGCTTTAGGAGTCTTTCTTAAGAAATCTTTGCCTACTCCAATGTCTTCAAGAGTTTCCCCTGTGTTTTCCACTAGTAGTTTTATAGTGTGAGACTTTATGTTTAGATCTTGGATCCATTTTGAGTTGATTTTTGTTCATTGTGAGAGATAGGGGTCCAGCTTCATTTTCCTTCAGGTGGTTATCTAATTCTTCTCGCACCATTTGCTGAAGAGACTTTTATTTCCCCGTTGGATTGTCTAGTGTCTTTTGTCAAAGATCATTTGGGTGTATGTTTTGCGATTGATTTCAGGGTTTTCTGTTCTGTTCCATTGGTCTACTTTCCTGTGTTTGTGGAATGGCCATCTCCCTGGGGGTGATTTCTTGCTTTCTGTCTCTCTGTCTCTCCCATGAGCGCACCCGGCTAATAGCAAAAACCTCTCCAAAAGAAAAAAAGTAAAAAAAAAAAAAAAAAAGAAGCAGCATGCAGGCCAAGGTCCGAGGAATGGGAGACACAGTGTTTCCCTGTAGAACCCGGGCACATTACTCCCCTAGTATATCAGGGTGTTCATCAGCCAGGAAGCTCCACTAAACTCTTGTGTCCAGAGTTTTTTTGGGGGGTATCATTATATAGGTGTGACTGATTAAATCATTCGCCAGGGCTAGTAGGTGGCATAGTAGTAGAAGGGATTGTGGCATGGCCATCACCCCTGGGGAGTTGATTTCTTGCTTTCTGTCTCTCTGTCTCTGTCTTTCAGGCGTGCATACGCGCCCTATCACAAAAAAAATTATCAAAAATAAAAAAGAAAGAAAATCATGCCAGGCGCATGTGCTTGCATTCTTGCATGCCCGAGATCCCAGGATGAAAATGGAGCAGGGATTGAGGTATGGCCATCCCGCCTGGAGTGAGAATAATTTCTCACTTTCTCTCCCACTGTCTCTGTCTCTCTGTTCAGTGAGTGTATGTACCCTATGGCAAAAACCTCTTAAAGAAAAAGAATCATTAGCCAATTGATTACATGCAATTTCTAGCACCCTTCTTTTCATGGAGGTCTTGCTGGGCCAAAGTTCTATCCCTCTAATGACTTGGTTGTTTTTTCTGAGAACCAAATCCCAGCCTATAGGTATCTGTGGGCCTTCAGGAGACACCTAATCAGCATAACAAACACTCCTATCACTGAGGAAGTTCCAAGCCAGAAACTGGCACATACACATATTCTTCACTATCTTTCATTACACCATATCCATCAAAGAAGACTTCAAAGAGAATATGGCATTTGGTGATTTGAAAAATAGGGAGGATTTAAACATTTTTTTTTTTTTGAGATTTTTTTTTTTTGCTGTAGGCCTCGTGCGCTCACCAGAAAGACAGAGAGACAAAAAGTGAGAAATCAGCCCCCAGGGAAGATGGCCACGCCACAGTCCCTTCTCCTCCATTCTCCTCTCAGGATCTTGGGCACACAAGCACACATGCCCAACATGAGTTTAAGCCATCGGATCTGGGACTCGAACCGCAGTCTACTACATGGGAGTCCAGCGACATAGCCATTACATCAACTGCTGGTCCCAGGATTTAAACAGTTGAAAATGGGGCAGAAGGCATCCAGGCTGAGATTCCCTTTCTCACTCAGCATTCGTGCTCAGAGGGATACACGCAGGTGCAGGGCTTGGCACCGAGACAGACGTCTTCTGCCACTTTGGTTTCAGTGTAGGATATACAAAAAGGAAAACTAAGAATGGAAACCGCAGTAGGTCTATCATTTAATGATATTTATCAAACATAATATCTTTCATTCCAACAGAGCAGAAGAAAGAAGAGATCTCTTCATGTTCTTCCGAAGCTTGCATTTTTTTGTGGAGTGGTACGAATATCGCAAGCGCACATTTAAGCATTTCAAGGTAAAGTCAAAAGTTTTTAACTATGTATGGAAAATGAAGCTGATGCTAATATGGGGATTTGATTATAATGTTCTTTCCTTAAAGTTTTCAAACAATAGAAAATATTTTCATCGGCTTCTGGAATTTGCAATTATTTGGTTTAACTGGAAGAGTAGTACCACACAAATCAGTGATTAATTTATATTATGGAATATCTTGAAGTGTAATTCCAGTTTATTTTAACATGCACATTTTGAAAAATCAGTCTTTCAAGGTACTTGAAGGCAAGCGATAAATGCTCTTAAAGTATAAAACCATAGCAGGCTTGCCATATAGCAGTATATTAACCTATTCATCAGTCTATATTTTGAGCTTCTTAGTTATTTCAGGTTAAACTATGGAAGCCTGATTCTTGTGAGGTAATGTTTGTCAAGTCTGAAATGAACACAGTATTTCTTTTTATTCCCTTGGTTTGGGTCTGGCATAGCTAGAATCATGTTTGGCGGCATGGCAGTCCTCAGGGCTCGGTCAGCTGAACAGTGTCGTGTTATTAGCAGCAGTGGTGCACACAAGACCCACCTCTGGAAGAGTCAACATAGATAATATTGCAAGGTTCACATTCCCCCAAAAGCCTAATGAAGCCATGCATATATTTTTAGGGCTGGTGCCATCTCTTCTTTATTATTAATATCATGTTCATTCTGTTTGGTTGTGCTAAGAAAATCTGTCAGGCACAGGACTTTCATTGGAATAAACTCAGGCATTTCCTGTACTGCAGTCCCTTGAAGCGGTTTCACAGGTGGTTGTATTTTCTCACAGGCAGTTCTGTGCCAGTACAATTAAATATCTCCGCTTCACAGTTGGTAAGATACAGTAATGACTGGGCAGCGTGCTGGTCGTTATTGTAATGAACAAGTCACCAAACAGTGCTACTTCCTAATGCATTTACATGGGTAGTAGGACATGTGAGCTCTAGTCCCCATATCCAAAGCCCATTTGATGCTAAGTGCTTTTGAGAAGTATAATTGCTGTGTTTTTCAGTGGAGAACTGGACATTTTTATTAGCTGGTCTTTGCTGGTGGTAATTTAAAAAAAAAAAAAAAAGCCAGGAAATTAAAAAAGAAAAAGTCACATGGTTCTGCAGCCATCACTACTGTCCTTCCCCAGAACTTCTCCATCACTGCACACTTAGACGTGCCCATCAGACTCTTAGCTCCCCATTTTCTCCTCACCTCACCTCTGTTATCCCCTGTTCTATTTCTATGAATTTGACTATTCTCGATGCTTCATATAAATGGAGTGTTCTTTTTAAGTCTATTTCACTGGTATAATGCCTTAAGGTTTACCTGTATTGTGTGTAGCTCCTGTCAGATTTCTTTAAAGGCTGCATAATATTTTACTGTATGGACCACATTTTGTTTAGTGGTACATCCGTTGCTGGATACCTGGATTGCTTCCACCTCTTGGTTATTGTGAATAATGCTGCTATGGACATGGGTGTACAGGTACCTGCTCGTGTCTCTGCTTTCAGATCTCGTAGGCATATATACCTAGGTGTACAATTGCTGGATCATATAGGAATTCCATGTTGAATTTTTTGAAGAACCTCATATTTTCTACAGCAGCCTCATCATTTTTCATTCCCATCAGCAAAGCACAAGGGTTCCATTTTTTTCTTCGGCTTCTTCAAAACTTGCTACTGTCTGTTTCTTGGGTAATAGCCAAATAATGGACATGAAGTGTTATCCCATTATGGTTTTGATTTGCACCTTCCTAATGATTAACAATTTGAATATCTCCTTATGTGCTTCCTAGTTGTTTGTATATCTTTGGAGTAATGTCTATTCAAGTCCTCTGGCCATTTTTGAATTGTGTTTTGTTGTTGAATTGAAAGCATTTTTTATATATTGTGGATATTGATACTTTATCAAATACATGGTTTGGAAATACTTTCTCTGGGTTGTCTTTTCATTCTCTTGATAGTGTCCTTTTGATAGTGTCCTTCGATAGTGTCCTTTTTTTTCCCCAGAGAGTGTGTGTGCTTGGAGGAGGAGAGTGGGGGATGGCCGCTCTGTAGTCTGTTCTTCTCCATTCTCGTCTCGGGATTTTGAGCACACACACACACACACGACATTTCTCAGGGCTCTGAGTCCAGCGCTCAAACTGCACAGTTGGCCGTGTGAGCTCTAGCTACCTTAACTACCATGCCATGGACTGGCCTTGATACTCTGAAGTTTTTCATTTTAATGAAGTCTAGTTTGTTTTTTCTCCTTTTACCTATGTTTTTGGTGTCAATAGCTAAGAAATCATTTCCAAATTCAATGTCATAACTTTTTTTCTTATGTTTTCTTCTAAAAATTTTAGAGATTTGGCTCTTAAGTTTAGGTTTTAGATCCATTTTGAGTTTATTTTTATATATGTAAAGGCCCTAATTTTCCCAGCACCATTTATTGAAAACGCTGTCCTTTTCCCATTGAGTAGCCTTGGTATCCTTGTAAAAATCATTTGATCATATATGCAAAGGTTTATTTCTGGGCTGTCAGATTGAGTCCTTTGGTTTGGCCTATACTTAATGTCAGTGCCATTGCAACTCTGTAGTAAGTTTTGAAATTAGGAAGTATGACTCTTCCATCTTTATTCTTCTTTTAAGATTCTTGGGACCAGCAGTTAGCGTAATGGCTATGTTGCTGGATTCCCATGTAGTCGACCACGGTTCGAGTCCCGGACCCGGTGGCTTAAACTCACGCTGGGCGTGTGTGCGTGCATGCCCAAGATCCCGAGAGGAGCACGGAGGAAAAGGGATTGCGGCATGGCCATCCCCCCTGGGGGGTGATTTCTCGCTTTCTGTCTCTGTCTCTCTCTGTCTGTCTGGAGAGCGCACGTGCCCTATAGCAAAAAAACCTCTCCCAAAAAAAAGATTCCTTTGTTCATTCTGGACATTTTGAGATCCCATATGAATTTTAGGGTAATGTTTTTTTTTTTTCCCTC